GGAAACTGAGGCCGCAAGAGACTGGTGACAAAATCAGTGGTCGCACAAGCAGTTTATAGCCCTAGACCCTTTCAGCCAAACTGTACTGCCAAGAAGCCATAAGGAAAATACCTTTTAAATTTTTATGTTAACATAAAGCCATTAAGAAGAAATTTGTGGACTATGAAGAGATAGAAGTATACACATGAAAAACTGTGTTGTGATGAACAGACTGAAAATGCATGTATATACTTAGCATTATGATCTGAAAATTATTTGTATCATAAAAATTCATACGGAGAGTTCTATGGGTATGCTTTTAATTGAATTCTTTCCTCTGTTCCTTGATTGTGAGAGAGGCAGAATTGGGACTAATGGGTTGAAGCGGTGGGTAAGTTTCAAGTCACTATAAGGAAGACGTTTCTAAAGGTCAAAGTTGTCCAAAGCTGGAATGAGAGATGATGACATTCATCACTGGAGGTTATGAAAGCTGAGGCTGGAGACCGCTTGGCAGGAATGTGGCAGCTGTACTGATTTCCAGATTCAAACAGGCTGTATTCTGTCATCGGGGCAGATGCTGAAAGTAGAGGTTCCTGAGCCCAGGCACATAGGGATGTCCTGGGATCTGTATTCTTAATAAGCTACCCCAGTGATTCTTGTGTTCGGGGAGGGGGTGGGGTGGGAATGCATCAGACACCTGTAAGTAGCTGTTCTAATTCAGGAGTCTGTAATTTTCTTCATGAGATAATGGAAAGAGCACTGTAATGGGGGCAAGGAATTCAGATTCTGTCTTGGTTTTGTTCCTAACAAGCTGTGTGATTTTTGAGCACATGACATCAATTTTCCTGTCTGCAAAAATAAGTGGGACTAGGTGTATCTTATGGTTCTTATATGGTAGGAATTTGTGTTTCTAAGGGTGGCCTGGAAGAAACGGATCTTCCAAGTCCCTGGAAAATTCCCCATGACATTCAGATGCTGGAGAATTATCCTGGAATGACTGTCTAAGACAGCTGGGCAAGGCCGTGCAAACTGGCTGGTTTCCTGGAGTTGGTAGGCACTTGGCCCAGGATACGTCTATCACATTCAGGGCAGGTGGGGAGTGGAGAGGGTTGGCAGGCTGGAAGTTGGGAACTCAGAAACTTCCCCATCTTGGCTCCAACCAAGAGCCATCTTTGTTACCTATTTACAGTTCAAAAAGGAAGGCCCAAGGAGGCTGATCTGCTGTCCTGAAAAAGCAGTGGTAATTGCCCTTTCTAGGGCATCTTGCCAAGAAATATCAAGCTTCTGGAAGGTGAGCTGGGTTGGCAATTTCATTTCTTATGAATGAGCCTCCCCTCCCAAAAGCCAATGATACTTAGCTTTTGATCTAATGTTGAGTTCTCCTTTCCTCCCTACTTCTTTCTTCTCTCTCCATTTCTCCATCTGTGTTTGGAAACAATTCTCCATGGATCTGTCACATAGCTATATGTCTTGAGAGTGAGGCATTGGTTGCCTTTCGACTATCTTTTCAAGGATATTTAATCCAAGGGTGATGTTTTCTGTCCATGTTAGATCATTCTGATAATGGCCTTCAACTTTAGGATTACATCCTTTTAAAAAATCCTTTATTATGATTTTTGTGGCATTTCAGAAGAGAAGGGACAAGTGTATTCAATCCATCAAGTTAACCTGGATCCATATTTGAATGAGTTACCTTATGACCCACATCTAGTCACCAAGTCCTATCAATCCTATATTCTACCTTTTCCTTAGGTGTCTGGAATCTTACTGTTCTTTCACAGTGGGTCCTGGAGGCAGAGGTCCTGCCATTGACTAGCCTTCTGACCTTGGAAAATTAACATCCACTCTTGAATTTGCAGTTTCCTCAATTGTGAAGTGAAGATAGTATCAGTTCCTATCTTACGGGATTTCTGTGAAGATTAAATTAGGTATAGCTCTAAAGCCATGGTTTCAGCTGATGCTAAGGTGGTTGTTAACATGGTCTTCGTTATTTTCTACTTAGCATCCCTCATCTAGAGATCCCCTAAGTGGTCTCCTAGTCCCCAACCCTTCCTGCTCCATATTTCATCCACTTCTAACACACAGATGTGATTTACTCTCCTAGGTGGTGCCCATCCCACCCCACCCTACGACTTAAACACCTCTCGGTAGGACAGCAGGTAAGTGACTTCTTTGTTTCTCATGGCTTTTTTCAGACCATCCTCAGTCCCTCCCTCTTCCCTAAAGAACACTCAGCTTTGACTCCCATAACATCAGATTAAACCATCTGTACCCTTTGCTATGAAAGTCACATACTGATCCCTGAGTCCCTTCCTCCCATTCCATAAAGATCCACAACGACCCTCTCTAACGTGCTCCCAGTGGTGATTTCAACATCCAGAGAGCTCAGTCTTTCAAAATCATGACCTATCAATTCCTTGATCTTCATCCTATCTCAGTCACTTATTCCTATGGCCATATTTTACATCTTATCATCACCAATATACTGGAACCCCTCTACAATCTCAATTTCAAACACTCCACTATCCAATCACCACCTCCTATATTTCCAGCTCTTTTACTCTCACCTCCAACTCAAAACTCCTTTGCCACTGGAAACTACAAGTTTATTGTAATCTTTACTCTCCACTGTTCTCCATCATCTCAGGTTCTCACTTTCCTCCTTACCCAGTTAAAATCTAATGGTGAATCATTTTAGTTGTTTTCTTGTCTCTCAATTGATCACACTCTTGTACTTGAGCTAGCCTTTTAAGGACTTGCAAATAAGTCTAACTTTCTACCTGACACATACCCAAATCAGGAAAGCTAAATGTGGCTGGAGAAAGACTTGCCTCTCTTTAAATTCATAAATGTTAATAATAATCAAGATAGTCCTTAATGCTACCTAGCAGTCAAAACTCTGTTTCCCTAGTCCAATTGCTTTATTTTCCTAATTGGCTATTCCATAGCTTCTAATCTCTCCCCAGTCCTTCAACATCTCTAACTTCTTTGCTTCCCATATTACTAAGAAAATTTAAACAATTAGAAGAAAATGTCTATAAGCTCCCAACACATCTTCATGCATATTTGTACCTCTGTGCATTTACTATGCCTCCCCTCCTCCCTCTGTGAATACCTGTATGTTTTTCTGGCTAAATCTACCCATATATCTGTGCATCAGATTCAGTCTCTTATCTCCTTGTTGATATCACTCCTTGAATTTTCCCTCTTTCTCCTGCACCATTTTCCATCTTTACTGAATCATTCCCGTCATCATGCAAACATACTGTCACTTTTATATTGCTTTAAAACCTATGTATCCTAATCTCAGTTACCCATCTAGACACCACTGCATTTTTTCCTTTTAAGGAAAGCTCCTACAAAGGTTAATAATACTCACTACCTCAACTCACTCTCCTCCCATTCTGACTTGAACCCACTCCAATAAGGCTTTTTGCTCGCAATGTTTCATGGAACATGCACCTATCAATGAGGTCAGTGTTGCTAACTTCAATGGTTGATTCTCAGTCCTTACCTTACTTGACTGTCAGCCATCTTTGATGCAGTAGATCAACTCTACTCTTCCTTGAAACACTTTCTAGAAAATTTGGCTTCCAGGAAACCATATCCCCCTGATTTTCCTCCTCATCTCCAGCTACTCCTTTGCAATTTCTTTTGTTGATTTCTTCTTTCCTCCATGATTTCTGTATATTAGGGTATCCCAAGTTTTAGGACTTGCACTATGTTTTCTGTCTACATTCACTCCCTTGGTAAGCTCATTAATCCCATGGCTTTAAATACCATACATATGCTGATGACTTATTTCCCAACTCAGACTCTCCCTTGGAAATCTAGACCCACAAACCCAAGTGCCTACTTGTCATCGCCAGTTGAATGTCTAATAGGTCCCTAAAATTTAACACATCTAAAAAGGAATGTTTTGATTTCATACACTTCAATAAACAAATCTCCTGCCCCACTCACAGTCTTCCTCATTGAACTTAATGGCAACTCCATTCTCCTAGTCACTCAAGTCCCAAAGTGTGGCGTCATCATCAATTCCTTTCTTTCTCTCATATGCTACATCTCATCTATCCCCAAACACTATTCTGCCTTTAAACTTGAATTGGAATCTGACCATATCACATATCTTCAATGCTGATAGCCTAGTCAGAGTCACCAGTTTTACAACAGCCTCCTACCTGGTGCTTAAACTCCCAACTCCCTAGAGTATGCAAAAAAGAATAGAGTGACTCCATTGAAATATAAGTCAGAGCAAGTCATCCAAGCTCAAAGTCCTCTAGGGGCCTTGTAATGACCAAGAGGCTACACGATCTAGTTCACATTATCACTCTGACTTCATGCCTGTCATTCTTTCTTTTCTTCATTCTAGTCTAGTTTCCTCTTCTTAGTTCCTCAATACACCAGGAACATGCCTGCCTTGGACTTTTAGCACTGGCTTTCTGGAATGCTCTTTCCCTCAATATCCACATAATTCAATTCCTCATCTCCTTTCATCTTTACTCAAATATCACCTTCTCAGGGAGTTCTTGTTTGGCCACTAGTTCCAAATTTTAAAGACTCCTATCCCCTCTTCATAGTTAATTTTTCTCCTTGGCCTTTATCACTACTGGAAATTCTGCAAATTTTCCTCATTAATTTTGTTGTCTCCTCCACTAGAATCTAAATTCCATGAGGGCAGAAATTTAGATCTGTTTCATTTACTTCTGAATCCCCAGTGCCCAACAATGCTTAGAAAATAATAAATACCCAATAAATATTTGTTGAACAAATGACCAAGCATATTGAGAGGAGAACCAAATGCAACTTAACAAACAGAAATAAAATAATTGAAATTAAACATCTAAACACTAGATTAAAGGTAAAATTATTTTTCAGAGAACAACACAATGTCAACAGAAGAGATACATGCCATGGTTCAACTTATGAAGCTAGCATAAATTTGGTACCCGAACCAGCAAGGAGGGTAAGTAAGAAAACCAACAGACCAATCTTGCACATGAAAATAGATACACATTTACCTGTGACAACACTGGGGATTTTGGAGAGAAAGCTCTTGACTGTCCTGATGGGCACACCCCCTGTCTTGTCATCTTGCATCTTTGTAATGATGTCTTCAATCTGAAAGAGGTTAAAGAAGTGTTATTGTCTCCCACAAAGTAATAGTAAGTGGTACCTTTTTAAATAGCCAAAATGTGGGAATGTGGATGCCAACAATAGATATCACGAAAAATCTCCACCTCAGTCAATAAACGTAGTAGCAGCATTTGCTATGGGCTAAGTGCTGGGGATGGGGAGGTCAGGGGGTTATATAAAGAGTGTAAAGCATGGTCTGTAAGAACAACCCCTCCTTCCCCCACCAGTTCAACAAGGTAAGGAGAGAGAAATTCTTGATGGGATCCAACATATAATTCAATATATATATGATGATATTCCTCTTTTTTCCCAAATTAGGCTTATATATAGGTTGAACCATATGAAATTGCCATAGTCAACCTAAAAAAAAGGCAATTTCCTGTTGTTTAACATAACATATTATCATACTGTTGTTGGAAGTATGCCTTTCAGACCAGAGAAGGATCCAGCCAGAGCCACAGAGGGGTAAAAATAAAAAGTATAAATCAAGACACGGAAGGTGCTGATCTGGAGAAGTTGAAGGACAAGTCTCATGGTTGTAAATGATGGCATGAAGGTAGTCACTCTGAGCCAGGACTAAGATGGAGCAAGCACAGGATCCTCTCCTCTTGGTCGAAGGAAGACCACACTATCAAGAGAAAGACCATGGACTGTGGCCTGGAGCCAGGTGAAATCTGATGAAACAAAAGACTGTGTATATACACTGAAAACAGAACAGAGAGGGGAGATGGACTACCAGGGATGTAGGTGCCTAAACTGGAAAACCAATTTGTAGCTAAGAATTTACAAGCCAGCTATAATTTCCCGGGCAGAAATCTTCAGAATAGATACAGAACAACCTGTAACAAGGACATGGGTCTTTTTGTTTGGTGAGTTGTGGGAGAGGATAAATAGAAAGGGGGAGAAGATAATGTTGTTTTATCATGTTTTGTTTCCCTAAGCAATAGAATGTGTTTGAAATATCACGATGGATTCTCTGAGTGCTTCTATAAAAGAGTCATATAATTAAGCCTAGAAATTTAAAGCTGTAGTTTATTTAGTCTAATGCTCTACTATAGAAACTTGAGGGTGAGTTTCTCAAAGTCACATGACTCCCAACTTACTTGAAAGAAATAGGTATCTTGTTAGAGACAAAGTTAGGAAAGATATAATGTAATAAAAATTAAAATATACACAGTATTAATATATACCCAGATCCTTGCCCTGGCCTCATGATGGGCAGAAGTTCTGCTTGACTTTGGGGCTTGGCCTTGTGACTCGCCAGGCTAATGCGATGTTATTGAACGTGTTGTGAGCAGAGACTTTCAGTGTACCTGCCCAGTGATGCCTACCATCTCCCCTTGACCTCCTGCATCAGAGAGTTGTTCCGAGGAAGGTGAGAGACATCTGAGGCAGAAGGGACCCAACCCATAGCTAGATCAGTCAAACCCCAGCTGACCTGCAGAACCGTAAGTGAGAAATAAATGCTTATTGTTATATGCCACTGAGTTTGGGGTAGTTTGCTATGCAGCAAAATGGTGGTTATAGCTGACTGATACACAGGGCTCTGAAAAAAAAAGCATTTATCAAAATTGCTGAAGCCACAACAAATATTTGGTAATAAGAATCAATAAATCTTAGAGGTGGGGTATCCTGGAATCCAAGCCTTTTAAAGAATGCAGAAATTCCACCTACATCATCCACCATGTGCTTAAAAATTCTTAGGGTCTATCCTCCCACCGTTATGTCAGGCAAATTTGTGATAGCTGAGTTTGATTCCATGGCATAGTCCACTAGGACATTAGCTAAAAATATTGTCTCTGAAATTTTTTTTCATGGTTTCCGGAGAAATGCTGAGTACAGACCTACCAAAAAATTGGAAGTGGGCTCCCAGGGACCTTATATAAAGCATAATGACAAACATTTTCAGAACACCTATGTTATGATTAATACTGCCCTAGGTATTTTAAATAAATTATCTGATTTTTTTTCTCAGTCTTAAAATTTATTTAATAAAAATGTTGAAATTAAGGCTCAGAAAGGTTAAGTGATTTATCCAAGGACACACAGCTAGTAAGTGGCAAAGCCAGGATTCTTATGCAAGTCTCCAATGCCCAAGCTCTGTCTAGCAAAGATTCACCTTTTATACTCAATGGCTCAACCAGCCTGCAGACATGCTATTCAGATACAAGGCACTTAATACCATTTGCACCGAAGGGAAAGTTTAGCTCAGTCCTAAGAGTGTAGAGGAGAGTAAAGAAAAATTGATCCAGATAACCAGATCCTCAACCATCTCAGGGTTTATTTTGGCCCAGTGACTACTGATGTCTTGCTGCTCAGCACATCTCTCTTTGTCCCAGGGGCCTGGTTGGATTTATCTTCTACTGGCAGATTACAGCTCCTGGGGTGGGAATGAAGAGATAGGAGATATATGCTTTTGTTTTCTTGACCACTCAGTTCCATCTAACTTCTGGTACCTCTTGTTCCTGAAGCAGAGCAACGTCAATTTTCTGACATCCTTTAGTATGAAGTTCTGTATCATTAGGGAGCACGGTTGGACCTAAATTACACTGTGCCATCGATAAGCAGGTGGCCCTTATCTGACAGCCAAGCCATGCAGAGAAACCACATGGCCAGCTCGACCAGTTCTGCCTGGATGGCTCACAACCACCAGATGTCTTCTCCCAGGAGCTCACAGCTCAGCACCGGCAGGCAGGTAAAACATCCTTCCCAACAGCAGGAAAATGGAAACCATTGCACCACAGGGTGGGTTTCTTTGCAGTGAGGACTCTTGTGAGGACAGTAGACTTAATTCACGGAAATAGCCATGGGGTGTAAAAGAGGAGTGAGGAGAAGCAATCCTCACTTTACAGACTGAAGCTGCAGCAGGACAGTAGGAAGAACACTGGTCTGAGGTCCAAGAGAAAGGCCAGCCTCAGTTTCACTGGTTTGCTGTGTTGACCTTGAAGAAGTTACTTAACCTCTCTGGACTTCCCTTCCTGAACCTCTATAGTGATAGGCCTGGTGACTAAACTAAGATTTCTAGTCCTAAAACCTGGGAGACATCTCTGACTTGACAGGTACAAAGCTGTGTCTGCCAGGAAAGAACAGGACAGGCAATCAGCCCCTATGTTCACACTCTCCATCAGGCCAGGGGGATCCATGCAGAACCGTGCAAGGTAGGGGAAAGGTGCTGGACAGGGCCAGGGGTTTTGGGTGTTTTTAGAAATCATTTTGGACAGATGGCATCAGAAGGCAGACAGAGATGTGATCCAAAGTGGTCTTGACACTGCCCCTCTTGGCCAGCTCCATCTCTGCTTGGATAGATGGCACTTCTAACAGAAATGACTAAGGGCCAGTATTAGTTTTGTTTGTGTAAATTAATGATCCAATTACTAATTTATTTATCTCCTCCAATTTTTCTTCAGTGGAAGATGAAAAAAACTTCAAAAATAGGCAAATTATGTTGCCATTATTTAAAAAAAATCCATCACAACTCTAGCAAAGAGGGCAGAGTATGCCTCAGGCATGAAGTTCTTTTTTATTGAAGCATTTCATCTTGACTTGGCAATCAGTTGTCTATTTCTGGCTACCAATGACTGTCACTTCAGTGCCTGCATTCATTAGAGACCCCTTCTGTTTTGGTGTCTGTAAATGAGTGAAAATGATTCTTTGACACATCTTATCAGCCCGGAGGCAGGAATCAGAGCTGGCAAATGATAATCATATTTCTTAATCCAAAACATGCATGCTTCACCGAACATGCTCTATCCCATATGTGTTCCATAAGATCAGGCCATTTCTCACTTTTATTTTTAAAAACACAGCACATGGCTATTCTCAACTTTTGAATGTCCTCAGCTTCACTTAATGGTTTAGTGGACATTTACTGAGCACCTACAAAGCACTAGGCACTGTTTCAGTTCCTATGGTTACAAAGAGTCAATGAAAGAATCTGTTCCCCTTCATCATGGACTAAAACATTCCAGAAAGATGCAGGGATCTAGGCTCACAGTTAAGGATGTGATGAGATAGCAGAGCCAAGTACGAGTTCCAAAAAAGCTAGAAACACTAAGGAATACCACTTTTAGAGGCCCCCAGAGAGGCAACCATCCAGACTTCCTCCTTTTTTCTCCATCCCGTTCAACAGACTGATTTCAATGGCAGGAGCAGAATTTTGAGATTCCTTGTGCTAGCTGTGACAGTGATTGCAATGCCTGTTAATCTGTGCTCAGTTAAACTTACTTTTGAGTCACTATATCAGCCTAGAACGCTTTTTTAAAAATACTTATCTCATGTTTTTCTTTTTTAATTAATTTTTTTCATTCTTATTTTTTATTGAGCTGTATTCTATGTACAATATTAGTTTCAGGTGTACAGCAAAGCAATTCAATTATGCCAGCCTAGAATGCTTCTGATAGAAAGTTTAAAAAAAAATCCAAACTCCAAACCTGGCGAGTTATTTTCCCCACATAACCGACCATCTGTATGTGGGTAGCTGCCGGCATTACTGCAGTTACTCAGTTCTACGTGAATCACCATCTTGGCCTTTCCCTCATGGTTTCCAGATAGCTACCCCGCCTCTAGGCATCGCTTCAACATTAAAGAAGAAGGAGAAAGGCGGGAAGAAGTGAGGAGTATTGAGACAGCTGGACGTGTTCCTTTGATCCGGAAAAGCAGATTCTTCCCCAGAAAGCCCCAGCAGATCTCTGCTCTAGTCTCATTGGCCAGAACAGGGTCACATGGCTACGTGTGGTTGCAAAGGAAGCAGGGAGGAGGGTTAATCAACTAACACTGTCTGCCACAAAGACCCCGTGTTAAAGAACATTCATGAAAGATGCGTGGGCAGACCTTGACTCCGCTCCGATCTGTCCTCCACATGCAGCCTGCGTGACGCTCTTAAAGGGAAAATCTCATCCTTTAACTTCACTGCTTAAAATCTGTCTATGGTTTCTCAGTGCTTATTCTGTTACAAGCTCTTGTAGGATCCTTTGTCTTTTCTGTTC